ATGCTGAGCACAAAGCCTGACATGGGGCTCAATCCCTGTCATTAGAACAGGAGACAATGACCCTAGCCGAAGTCAAGAGTTGGATGCTTAACTGACTGAGCCACCCAGGCACCCCTTAAGTATGATTTTTACAACAAAAGGTAAGAATTAGTCCTATCATTGGAAGAACAAATATTGTGAAAATGTCTATGCTACCTAAAGCAATCTACACATTTAATGCAATCCCTATCAAAATACCACCTTTTTTTTTCAAAGATATGGAACAAACAATCCTAAAGTTTATATGGAACCAGAAAAGACCTTGAATAGCCAGAGGAATATTGAAAAAGAAAGCCAAAGTTGGTGGCATCACAATTCCAGACTTCAAGCTCTATTACAAAGCTGTCATCATCAAGACAGTGTGGTACTGGCACAAAAACAGACACATAGATCAGAACAGAATAGAACAGAATAGAGAGCCCAGAAATAGACCCCCAACTCTATGGTCAACTAATCTTCGACAAAGCAAGAAAGAATGTCCAATGGAAAAATGACAGTCTCTTCAACAAATGGTGTTAGGAGGGGCGCCTGGGTGGCTCAGTGGGTTGGGCCTCTGCCTTCAACTCGGGTCATGATCTTGGGATCCTGGGATTGAGCCCCGCATCAGGCTCTCTGCTCAGCGGGGAGCCTGCTTCTCCCTCTCTCTCTGCCTGCCTCTCTGCCTACTTGTGATCTCTCTCTGTCAAATAAATACAAATCTTTAACAAATGGTGTTGGGAAAATTGGACAGCCACATGCAGAAAAATGAAACTGGACCATTTCCTTACACCACACACAAAATTAGACTCAAAATGGAAGAAGGACCTCAATGTGAGAAAGGAATCCATCAAAATCCTTGAGGAGAACAGAGGCAGCAACCTCTTCTACCTCAGCCGCAGCAACTTCTTCCTAGGAACATCGCCAAAGGCAAGGGAAGCAAGGGCAAAAATGAACTATTGGGACTTCATCAAGATCTAGAGCTTCTGCACAGCAAAGGAAACAGTCATCAAAACCAAAAGACAACTGACAGTATGGGAGAAGATATTTGCAAACAACATATTAGATAAAGGGCTAGTATTCAAAATCTATAAAGAACTTATCAAACTCAACACCCAAAGAACAAATAATCCAATCAAGAAATGGGCAGAGGACATGAACAGACATTTCTGCAAAGAAGACATCCAGATGGCCAAAAGACACATGAAAAAGCACTCCACATCACTCGCCATCAGGGAAATACAAATCAAGACCACAATGAGATACCACCGCACACCAGTCAGAATGGCTAAAATTAACAAGTCAGGAAATGACAGATGCTGGCGAGGATGCGGAGAGAGGGGAACCCTCCTACACTGTTGGTGGGAATGCAAGCTGGTGCAACCACTCTGGAAAACAGCATGGAGGTTCCTCAAAAAGTTGAAAATAGAGCTACCCTATGATCCAGCAATCACACTACCGGGTATTTACCCTAAAGATACAAATGTAGTGATCCGAAGGGGCATGTGCACCCGAATGTTTATAGCAGCAATGTCCACAATTACCAAGCTATGGAAAGAACCTAGATGCCCATTAACAGGTGAATGGATAAAGAAGATGTGATACACACACACACACACACACACACACACACACACACTGGAATACTATGCAGCCATCAAAAGAAATGAAATCTTGCCATTTGCAACGACGTGGATGGAACTAGAGGGTATTATGCTTAGCGAAATAAGTCAGTCAGAGAAAGACAATTATCATATTATCTCCCTGATATGAGGAAGTTGAGAGGCAATGTGGGGGGTTTGTGGGGTAGGAAAAGAATGAAAGAAACAAGATGGGATCAGGAGGGAGACAAACCATAAAAGACTCTTAATCTCACAAAACAAACTGAGGGTTGCCAGGGGGAGGGGAATAGAGAGAGGGTGGTTGGGCTATGGACATTGGGGAGGGTATGTGCTATGGTGAGTGCTGTGAAGTGTGTAAACTAACCCCCCTGGGGCTAGTAATACATTATATGTTAATAAAAGATTAAAAAAAAAAAGAATCCCATAAACCTATGCTTTAGAGAAACCAAGGGTTATGGGACTGAGGAATCACCTTGGTGATTTGAAGTCACTGTTGAAGCCAGAAGGCCAGGCTGAAAGGGATAAAAGTGAGAAGGAGGTGAGGAATGAGAGACAGGATGTACACACCTCTTTATGAGAAAGATTGAGCAGAGTGAGTACTTCAAGTAGGGAACACAGTCAAGGCAGCAGTGTACAAGATCAATGTGACAAGAAAAGGACTGAAGGCAGAGAGATCATGATTTCCCTCTAGATAAAACTGGGCAAATATTGTCACAATTTAGTGGAGAGAAGGGATGCCTGGGTGGCTCAGTTGTTAAGCGTCTGCCTTCAGCTCAGGTCATGATCCCAGGGTTGTGAGATCAAGCCCCACATCAGGCTCTCTGCTCAGTGGGGAGCCTGCTTCTCCCATTCCCACTGCTTGTGTTTCCTCTCTAGCTAGCTGTCTCTTTGTGTCAAATAAATAAATAAAATCTTTAAAAAATTAAGTGTAGAGAAGAAAATATTTTACAAAGAAAAAGAAGATTCATGCTTTCTGTGTCTGTTGTGGGGTGGTGTGAATTTGGTAGATGCCAAACAATTTTCAAGAATGGTGGGTTTTTCTCTGCCAAAAGGCAATTTAAAAACCTTCAGGTTAAAAAGTCCACAGCTCTTTTTAGGACATATATGAAGGTCAGTAAATAACTTACCTGCTTCAGTTTTTGTCTAAGGGTTAAAAGTGTCCTCCAACCAATTCAATTCAAAACCACATTGAGATACCACCTTACACCAGTTAGAATGGCCAAAATTAACAAGACAGTAAACGACGTGTGTTGGAGAGGATGTAGAGAAAGGGGAACCCTCTTACACTGTTGGTGGGAATGCAAGTTGATGCAGCCACTTTGGAAAACAGTGTGGAGATTCATTAAGAAATTAAGAATAGAGCTTCCCTATGACCCTGCAATTGAACTACTGGGTATTTACCCCCAAAGATACAGATGTAGTGAAAAGAAGGGCCATCTGTACCCCAATGTTCATAGCAGCAATGGCCACGGTCGCCAAACTGTGGAAAGAACCAAGATGCCCTTCAATGGATGAATGGATAAGGAAGATGTGGTCCATATATACTATGGAGTATTAGGACTCCCATCAGAAATGATGAATACCCAACTTTTGTATCAACACGGATGGGACTGGAAGAGATTATACTGAGTGAAATAAATCAAGAAGAGAGAGTCAATTATCATATGGTTTCACTTATTTGTGGAGCATAAGGAATAACGCAGAGGACATGGGGAGATGGAGAGGAGAAGTGAATTGGGGGAAATCCAAGGGGGAGACGAACCATGAGAGACTGTGGACTCTGAGAAACAAACTGAGAGTTTTGAAGGGGGGGGTGGGAAGTTGGGTGAGCCTGATGGTGGGTATTATGGAGGGCACATATTGCATAGAGAACTGGGTGTGGTGCATAAACAATGAATTCTGGTACACTGAAAAGAAATTTTTTAAACAAGTGCAACTTTTGTCTCCAAAAATTGCACTTCATGCATGCATGATATATATTTAAAATACATGGTGTTAGACTTTGGAGTTCATTATTTGTCCTAATGTGCCTCGGGGCACAGTTTAGGAACTACAGAGATAGTGCAAATTCATATTTCATCTGTCTGCTTTAGCCCGTGTCACTTTGAAGGAGTTTGCTAATAAATCAATTAGCAAATAAAGATATTAATAATTACTTCATAAAAACAAGTGTCCTCCAACCTTCATGGTGCAAGAAGCTTGGTCAAAATAAACAGTGGTAAAGTCCATCAAAGACTAGCCTGTAGTCTGACAAAGTTGGGTTTATTGACTTGCTGAAACAAGTGAGACCAGATGCACCAGAGCAACTGGGGGAGTCTAACTGAAGAAAAGGGATCGGAAGAGAGAGAGAGATCGCATAGGATTGGTTGGAATATAGGCAAGAATTAAGCAGGCTCTTGTCTGAGCTACAAAGTGGACTCTTAGGTATAGAATCCTTGACAACTACAAAGCTAAAATAAATATGGAATGTTCTATCTGAAAACCCCTCATGTGAAGCTCTATACCTGGATTGGAAAAATGTCAAAATGATGCATGTGGCTCAGCTCAGCCAGGCAGGGAGGGGTGTTCCATTCTTACTGATAGGATTTAAAACAACAAAGCTTCTGCAAGTTTGTTCTAGGGAGCAAGGTTTTTCATCCCATGTCCCTTCATTAATCAAAAAACTTGGTTTTTATAGATTCACAATTAGTGTATATCTCATGTACTGAAATTCTTCTCAACTTTCATAGCATGAATGCTACCTCCCTGAGTTTTTGTTCAGTTTCCCTTGGGTGGGTTCAGCTAGTGATAACGACATAGCAGGTGTCGTGTGTTTTGATCACGTACCAGACCCCACTGCTAACCATCTATTTGTGTCGTCTCATCCGATCCTCACAAGCCGTTTGAGCTTTTGAGTTAGTTACATAGAATGCGGAGGCTCAGAAAGCAACATGCCTAATGAATTTGCTGTTACTGTATTTACTTTCATTCTGCCTCATGTTAATAATAATAATAGTCATTATTATTATTATTATTAGTCGCTTTTGAGGCAGCAACACCATCTTTTCCTCTGGGACTACAAGCGTCCTACGTGCTAGACTGCGTAAACGCGGTACTGAGTAACAGGCAAACTAGAACGTGCGCAGTCATTGGCCTCTTCTGACTTCCTGGGTTTGCGGGAAGCAACCGTGCAACACCGGGGCGCACAGGCTGTGCGGGTTTGGGTGGATGGACCGAACGTCCATCTGGCTCCCGAGACCCTCGTCTATTGCGCTCACGCCTGAGCGCCAGCGGCAGCGGCTCATCTCGCGGAGGCGGGACTTCCTGTCTCCCTAAAAAAGCACTTCCGGCTAAAGCCGGAAGCTTCGCTGCGTACCGGCGCTAGCGAGGGTCGCGATTCCGACCACCCGGGTAGCCGCTGGGCAGGTGAGCTTCCGAGGGGCTGAGGGGCTGTGGGAGCCAAACGCGGGTGGCTGGCCTGTGGCCGGTGCGTCACCCGGCGGTGCTTCGGTCCTTCTGTCCTCTCCTAGAAACTTCTCGGGTTGTCGGAGTCGGGCGGTGCCTCCTCTCTGCCACCCCCGCCAGACCCAGACCTGGACGCGCGGGCCGGAAGGGAGTCCGGGCGGGCGGGGGCCCCGCGCCGGCCGCGGGCGAGGGGGCGGGTGGGCCGCGCCGCCAGGCACTGTGCGGAGATGCCTTGTTGGCGCGTGACTTGGGAGGAGGGGAGATGGCTCAGGTGAGAGAAATGGCCCCGAACTTCCCGTCATTTAGCGTCTGTGACGGGGAGGTAACGTGAAAGAGGCGCCGAACTTGGAGCGTTTTGGAAAAGTTCCATTGCCGGCCGCTGGGGATGGGCCTGGGTGGTGGGTGTCCGCGGGAGGGCGTGACGTGCCTGTCTGCTGGGGCTGCGTCTGGTCCGGAGGTCGGGGCTCACGGGCGCCGGGCTTCAGGACGGAGTCAGCGGGGACGAAGGACCGGGAGGGCGACTTCGTGTGTGACAGCGGCCTAGCGGGCGCAGCCGTCTGAGATTCGTCCCAGCGTCCCCATCCCTTCACTTCTCACCTTTGTCTCCGCTGTCACACACAGCACGTCGCTGGGGACGTTAAAAACCCAGGTCGACAGACTCTGCCTTTTGACCGTCCGGTGTTTGTACTCATTGTCGTAACTGAGGTGTCGTTCAGGCGCGGACCTCTGGAGTCGCCCGTGACCCTCGCGCCGCGCGTGTAATCCGGCGGCGAATCCCGACACTGTCAGACTCCGGGCCTCTCACTTCTCTGCGCCGGTTTGCAGCCCTGTCACCCGGGCTGCTGCCGGCCCCCTAACCCTTCCGCTGTTCTTCCAGCCTCTTTTCATCCCAGCATCGAAAGCGACCCTCCTAAAATATCAGACTGTTGCCCTGCTTTCCGAAGTCCGGCAAGGACTCCCGTTTCACCCAGGGTAAGAGCTGAAGCTACCGCTGCTCTTTGCCCCGCCCTCCGGCCTCTTCAGGCACAGCCTGGCCTCGGGGTGTTTGCAGTTGGGGCTCCTTTGCCTGGACTGCTCTCCCCCGCATCTGTGCACACGGTTTAGTCCCCTAACTCCTTCATTTATGGGAATACCGCCCTCGCAGCCGGTCTCCCAGACGCGGCCTCCCCGGACCTCCCCGTTGTGCTCGCCGTGTGCGTTCTTTATTCATTGGACCCGCGGTGCTTCCCCGCTGGGATGGAAACTGCGCGAGGACATCTTTGTACTTTCTGTTTACCGCTGTATTCCTGTCTAATGCAGTGTCTGCTTCCCGTGGATTTTCTATAATGTAACTGTGGAAGGAATGGATTGAACTTTTTCTACCATCTTACACTTGATACTTCCTGTGCTTCCTTTTCTTGCCTTTTTTTGGATTGAGGTTTGATCTTGTGTGTTTTCTCTTTTCATTTTTTCTTCTCTGTTTCCTTGGAAGATAATATTACTCTAGGTACTCTATTTCGGTACTTACAGGGCTAACCTTTTAATTTTTAATTTAGCTATGCGTACTTAATTGAATCTAATTCAATCTTAAATGAATCTTAACCTCGCCGCACAATATTGTTTTTACCTTTGTTTTACCTTTGTCTGATTTTAAACAGACTTCTTGGATCATCTCCATACTTAATTATTTTTGTAAGATGTACATGTTCAACAATAAAACTAGAGTTGTTACTATTTTCTGGTGGTTTTGATTTTTTCGTTTTGACTTTTTTTTTTTTTTATGATTTTATTTACTTGAGAGAGAACATGAGCAGGGGTAGGGGGCTTGTAAGTGGGAGGTCAGAGGGAGATGGAAAAGCACCCACTGAGCAGGGGCTCTCTCTTTCCGGGACTCTGAAATCATGACCTGAGCCCAAGTGAACCATCCAGGTGCCTCTTCTGATTGATTTATTAACTCAGTTTATCATACACTTAGTAGAATATTTGTTGTATACTTAGCACGTCAGACTTTATTTTTTTTAAAGTGTATGATACTTTCCCTACTTTAGCATTTTGCTGGAAAATACAAGAGTCCACTAGAAAACAATATGGCAGACAATAAGAGTGAAATGAATATGACCCAGAGAATGAAACTAAATATACACTGTAGGTTAACTAACTTGAATTTAAATTTAAAATATATATATATGACCCAGAGAGTAATTAGGGTCTACCTGAAAGGAGAAACATTATAGTTTGCCAATTATTAGGAGTGCTGGGATGAATTTGTGGAAGAGCGGTTTGGGGAGATGTGCTAGTATTTAAAAGTGTGTAAAGAAAGGGTACAAAGTTATTGATTAATTTTATTCTCATTCATACAGTTTTGTCATAAAAAATTTTTTTTTTTAAGATTTTATTTATTTGACAGAGAGATCACAAGGAGGCAGAGAGGCAGGCAGAGGGGGAGGGGGAAGCAGGCTCCCTGCTGAGCAGAGAGCCCAATGCAGGGCTTGATCCCAGGACCCTAGGATCATGACCTGAGCTGAAGGCAGAAGCTTAACCCACTGAGCCACCCAGGCGCCCCCAAAATTGTGGGTTTGATGTAGATTTCACTCTGGTGTTTTAGAGAGGAGTGCCTTTAACCTCTTAGTAAATGCTTACAGCTTTTTGGGGGACCTACTTAAAATTACATGAGGTAATTCAGTATGCGAAGGCTAAGAATCTACTGTCAGGTTGTAGTAAAACTTGGGAGACAGGCTTTGACATTTAGCATAAAAGGACAGCAAGACATGGTAAGTGAAGTAAGCCAGTCACAGAGACAAATACTGTTTGATTCCACTTATGTGAGATACCTCGAGTAGTCAGGTTCATAAAAACATAAGGTAGGGGCTGGGGAGGAAGGGCTATGGGAGTTGTTTAATGGGTATAGACCTTCAGTTTGACTGGATGAGAAAGTTTTGATAATTGCTTGCCCAACAATGTGACTATATCTAATGCCACTGAACTGTATTCTTAAAAATGGTGAAGATGGGGACGCCTGGGTGGCTCAGTGGGTTAGGGCCTCTGCCTTCGGCTCAGGTCATGATCTCGGGGTCCCGGGATCAAGTGCCGCATCAGGCTCTCTACTCAGCAGGGAGCCTACTTCCCTTCCTCTCTCTCTCTGCCTGCCTCTCTGCCTACTTGTGATCTCTGTCAAATGAATAAAACCTTTAAAAAAAAGTGGTGAAGATGATCAATTTTATGTGTATTTTACAACTAAAAACTTTTTTTTTTTTTAAGAGCAGCAGATGGGTTGGTTTAAAATTCTGCTAAATGCAAACACCTCAGTGGCTCAGTTGGTAGAGCATGTGACTCTTGGTCTTAGAGTTGTGAGTATGAGCCCTGCATTGGGGGTAGAGCTTACTTTAAAAAAAAAAAAAAAAAACAACTGGGCTAAATACTTGGGAATTGTAACATTTTGGGGTGGTAATTTTTTTTTAAAGATTTTATTTCTTTATTTGACAGAGAGATAGCACAAGTAGGCAGAGCAGCAGGCAGAGGGAGAGGGAGAAGCAGGCTTTCTGCTGAGCAGGGAGCCCGATGTGTGACTTGATCCCAGGACCCTGGGATCATGACCTGAGCCGAAGGCAGCCGCTTAACTGACTGCGCCACCCGTGGTAATTTTTTTTTTTAAGATTTTATTTATTTATTTGACAGATCACAAGTAGGCAGACAAGCAGGCGGGGCGGGGGGGGAGCAGGCTCCCTGCTGAGCAGAAAGCCTGATGCGGGACTCCATCCCAGGACCCTGAGATCATGACCTGAGCTGAAGGCAGATGCTTAACTGACTGAGCCACCCAGGCGCCCCTAAAGGTTTTTTTTTTTTTTTTTTTTAAGATTTATTTATTTGAGAAAGAGCGAGATGGAGAACAAGTGGAGGGAGGGACAGAGAGAGAGAAGCAGGCTCTCTGTGGAGCAGGGAGCCTGACATGGACCTCGATCCCAGACCCCTAGGATTATGACCTGAGCCAAAGGTAGACACTTAACTGACTGAGCAACCCAGGCGCCCTAAGGTGTTTTTAAATATAGAAAACACATAGCATTTCATATAAAGAACTTCTACAACTCAGCACCGAAACCCCAAATAATCCAGTTAAGAAATGGACTGAAGATATAGACATTTTTACATGAAAAAAGGCTCAAAATCACTCACCGTCAGGGAAATACAAATCAAAACTACAATGAGATATCACTTTATACTAGTCAGAATGGCTAAAATGAACAACACAGGAAACAATAGGTGTTGATGAGGATGTGGAGAAAGGGGAACCCCCTTGCACTGTTGGTGGGAATGCAAACTGGTGCAGCTACTGTAGAAAACAGTGTGGAGATTCCTCAAAAAATTAAAACTAGAGCTACTCTATGATCCAGCAATTGCACTGCTAGGTATTTACACAAAGGATACAAAAATACAGATTAAAAGGGGGTACATGCACCCCAATGTTTATAGCAGCATTATCAACAAGAGCCAAATTATGCAAAGAGCCTAAATGTCCATCAACTGATGAATGGATAAAATGTATACAATGTATACATGGAATATTATGCAGCCTTAAAAAAGAATGAAACCTTGCCATTTGCAACCATGTGGGTGGAGCTAGAGAGTATAACCCTAAGTGAAACAAGTCAGAGAAGGACAAATACCATATGATTTCACTCATGTGTAATTTAAGACACCCAACAAACATGGGGGAGGGATAAAAGAGGAGAATCAAGAAACAGACTCTTAATTATAGGGAACAAACTGATGGTTACCAGATGGCAGGTGGATGGGGGGGATGGGTGAAATAAGTGATGGGGATTAAGGAGGGCACTTAATTTGAGCACTGGGTGTTTGGGTGGAATGCTGAATCACTAAATTCTGCACCTGAAACTAGTGTTACACTATATGTTAATGGAATTTAAGTAAAAACTTGGGGGGAAAATAGAAAATATATAAGGATTTCAGATGAAATCCAGTTATGT